CCGATGTTTCTCTCATCTTTGTATTTCGCTTTACTCGCTAAACTTAAAATTTGGCAGACCACCGAGACGTACTCTCCCCAGACCTTTTCAGTCACGGCGGCCGTAGTAGCACCAGCCGTAGTGATTTGCTTAAACTCCCCAATGGCTGTCGATGAGCGGTTTACCCACACCAACTACGTCACTAAATCACCAGTAATTTACATAATGAAATGGCACACTAGATCCTTGAAATAACATAATTAAATGACTAATAAAATGGACACGGTGGTCAATGGTTTAGTGGTATGTGGACCACAGATTATAACCCCCTGGATAAAAGCAGTCGCACGAGTCGCATGACGACAAGGCACAGTGGAAGTTAGGATTAATGGATTGGTTAGGATCAGTGGATCAGTGGATCAGCGGATCAGTGGATCGGTGGATCGGTGGATCAGTGGATCAGTGGATCAGTGAAACAGGGGATCGGTGGATCAGCAGATCAGTGGATCAGTGGATCAGGGGATCAGTGGATCAGGGGATCAGGGGATCAGGGGATCAGTGAAACAGTGGATTGGTGGATCAGTGGCTCAGTGGATCAGTGAATCAGTGAATCAGTAAATTAGTGGATCAGTGGATCGGTGGATCAGTGGATCAGTGAATCAGTGAATCAGTGGATCAGTGGATCAGTGGATCAGTGAATCAGTGGATTCGTGGATCAGTGAATCAGTGGATCAGTTGATCAGTCGATCGGTGGATGGTGGATCAGTGGATCAGTGGATCAATGGATCAGTGGATCGGTGGATCGGTGGATCGGTGGATCGGTGGATCGGTGGATCGGTGGATCGGTGGATCGGTGGATCGGTGGATCGGTGGATCGGTGGATCGGTGGATCGGTGGATCGGTGGATCGGTGGATCGGTGGATCGGTGGATCGGTGGATCGGTGGATCGGTGGATCAGTTGATCAGTGGATCAGTGGATCAGTGGGTTAGTGGATCAGTGGATCAGTGGATCAGTGGAACAGTGTTACCTAGGACTTGTAGGTAGCAGTTGTCGCGTAAGAAATGACAACAGTAGACAAAGGTAAATTGTGTATTCTTTTCACACCTTTATAACTCTCTTCCTACTCAACAAGATCGTGTGCTCCCTGTGCTGCTACCCACGTATGTGGTAGCTTGTGGTAGCAGTCATCATAAAATGGAAAAAATATCCTGATGAAAGACGGCCAAAACGGTCGACGTAGCAACGACAGATATGAGTGTATGATTTACGAGTTTATTGACAAAGATAGTGGAGACAATAACAACAGGAACAAAATAAACGGGAATGAGTAACACTGAAATACAATAAACAAACTAAAATAAGCCTAATGCTAATAAAGAGTAAAACTAAACAAAATAAGCTAACTTAATTTGATGCAAATAACAAGACAATTGCAATAGGAAGATTGCATGACAAAAATAAAGAAACAGGAAACT